CTCAACTGGTCCGTGAAAATCAAGCAGTAACCGATCTCCAGAGAAACTGATGGAACTTCAGAGTAGTCCAGGGAACAAGAGACTCAGAGAATCTCAAAAAAGTTTGGTAGTTTAACGTAGAGGCTCATTAAAAATATCAGAAAATTTCTGACAGTTCATAGAACTTTGAAGAACCTCAAGATAAGCTCAGGAGACAACAGCGAAGAGTAGAAGATCTTTCAAAAAAGTTAAGTTAAGGGTTCTTACCTTCAGCGAATTTCTGGGAAGATCATGGTACTTCGGAGAAACTTATGGAACTTCGGAGTAGTCTAGGAGGGAGTATTGCAAATGTCCAGGAGAACCTCAGAAACACTTCGAGCTTCCCAACTGCTCCCTGAAAATCTCAGTAGTGATCTAAGAGTTTATGGAAGTTCAGAAGTAGTTAGTGAACATCATGGAACCTCCAAGTGACTCAAAGAAAACCTCATAGAATTTAGAAGAATTTCAAAGAAGTTCGGACGAACCTTTGAGAAGCTCACAAAGTTAAAAGCAACCATCTTCACTCAAAATTCAGAACTATCGAGAAACTCACGGAATTTATTGGACCTCACAGGTCGAAACTCAAAGAGGCTCAGAGAAACTTGAGAAATTATCGTAAATGTCCTGGAAAACTTCAGTGTCACTCCGAACTTCACAAATGATCCCTGACGGTATCCAAAAAATCTGAGAGTTCATATAACTCCAGGAAACAGTTTAGTGAACTTCAGAGAAACTCAGACAGTCTCAGGAAACATCTTAGAAGTTTAGAAGAACTTCAGTAAAGTTCAGAGAAGCTCAGGAGAATTTCAAGAAAGTTAAAGGAGAATTTCTGCGAATTTCTGAGAAGATAATCGAACTTCTCAACTGCTCCTTCAATTTCTCAGAAGATCTCTGAGAGTTCATAGTACTTCGGAAAATGTTCAGGATCGCATCTTGTAAGGATCTGTCAGAAATTCTGAGAAGTTGTCGGAAATTCTGATGAGTCCTCAGAATTTCCCGTAAGTTCTTCGCAAATCTTCTAAGAGATTCTCGGAATTTCTGGAAAGCTTTCGAAAATTCTGGACAGCTCTCGGAACTGATGGGAAGGCTTTTTTTTTGGGAGTTCTCGGAATATTGTGAAGTTCTTGGTTCTTCTGGAAAGTTTATGGAACTTCTGGAAAGCTTTTGAAATTTTTGGGAAGTTTTCACGGATTTTTTTGGGAAGTTGTCAAATCTTCCGGGAAATTCTCGGAACTTATGGGAAGCTCTTGAAAATTCTGGAAAGTCTAGGATCTTCTAGAAGTTTTTCGAATTCCTTAAAATTTATGAGATCTTGTGGGAAATTCCCGGATTTTTTGGAAAGAAACCTAGATGATCTAGATCTAGTAGTACTCAGAATTTGTGAGAGAAGTCCACAGAACTTCTGGGAAGTTGTTGATTTTTTTGGGAAGATCTTCTGAGAAATTCTCGGAACATATGGGAAGCTCTCGGTAATTCTGAAAAACTGTCAGAATTCTGGGAAGTACTCGGATCTTCTAGATGTTTTTGGAATTTCTGAGACGTTCTAAGATCTTGTGGGAAATTCTTGGATTTTTTGGAAAGTTCTACTAATTTCTGGGAAGTTCGAGAGTCTTCTGGGAAACTCTCGGAATTTATATGACGATCCGAGATCTAGAAGATCTAGATCTAGCAGTACTTGGAATTTGTGAGAGAAGTACGCAGAACTTCTGGGAAGTTGTATAATTTTGTTGGGAAGATCTTCCGAGAAATTATCGGAACTTATGGAAAGCAGAATTTCTGGGAAGTACTTGAATCTTTTAATAGTTTTTGGAATTTATGAGCAGTTTTGAGATCTTCAGATCTTCTGGATCGGAAAATGTTCAGTGAACATCACAGGAACCTCAGAATGACTTATTTAGGATGCCTCATAGAAGTTCAGAAGAATTTCCGAGAAGTTCAGAGAAATTTCAAAAAAGCTTACAAGATTGAGGAAAAAGAAACCTTCACAGAAATTCAGCGAATTTTGGGAGAAAACTATCGAATTATTTCAAAACTCACGAAAATTTAGTGCATGCTAAGGAACCTCAAAGAGACACAGAGAACCTCAGATAAGTTAGAGAGATAATCGAAAATGTTCAGGAGAAAATCAAAAACATTTGGATTCTGTCAAAGGTTCCTTGAAAATCGCAGAAACTTTCTGAGAGTGCATAGAGCTTCAGGGAACAGTTCAGTGAACTTCGAAGAAGCTTAGACTGGCTAAAACAAACATGAGTAGAAGCAGTCCGAAAACTTCATACAAGTTTAGTAGAGAGAAACTCAGGAGAATTTCAAAAATCAATTCAGTGAATTTTAGAAAAGATTCCAGATCTTAAGAGAAACTCCCTGAGCTTCATGGTTCTCTATGGAACCTTAACGAAGCTCAGACCCGTTTGGGAAGTTATCGTAACTGTCCGGGTAAACTTGGGGAACACTCCGAACTTCTCAAATGCTTCCTTGAATATCTTGGAAATTTTCATAAAGTTCATACGGACGTTCAGGCGAACCTCAGATTCACTCACTGTGGAATATGTAGTTGTAATGACAACATATTTTGGGGTCTCCAGGTTATATTGAGGATTGGGTCTTGATAATTGCACGATGTTTTGAAGCTTTAGAAAACCCATCGAATATTAGCAGTTTGATTGACAAAAATATGTCATACATGATGTAATAAGTTTTCACATTGCTATACAAACTCGAACGTTGGAACGTCATACGAGACGTCATGTAAGACTTCACTGAATGCAAAAAAAAAAATAGTCGAAATGTCGTACGATATCCCGTTGAGCATGTAGAATCTCAAAATCTGAACTCCATGGTGATTTGGAGAATCTTAGATATTGTTTTAACTCATCTATACGGCTCACATGATGCGATGAGGTCCCATGTAGCTTCATGAATTCAAGTACATCGTACAAGACTTTGGTTGAGCCTGTAGAACTTGAAGATCTTAATTTCTGGATGATTTGGAGGACTTGAGTTATTTTGTCATTTCAACTTTATATCTTACATGATGTAAGGGGGCTACATGAGGCTCTACAAATGCCAATATTAAGTCTGAATGTCGTACAAAATCTCGTTGAGCCTAAACAACATCAAGATCTGAACTTCAGTATGATTTGGAGAATCTTAGATATTTGTTAACACAAATGTGTAGCTTCCCTGATGTAATGAGCTCTTACTAAGCTCTCTGGACATCCTCGGGACATCGAGAAAAACTTCATTGAGCATGTAGAACTTCAAGATCAGTTCTTCAGGATTATTTTAAGACCTCATAGTTCCTCGTAAATGCTGTTTTTGATTTCATATGGTGTGATCCAAGGAAACTTTATTGCCTTTGCTTATGTCAACCTGTAGAGTACTTCTTACAAGTTCGCATAAGTTTAAAATATATTATGGGAGCTTAGGAACCCTCAGAACAGTTCAGGGAACTTCAAAGAAATTCAGGCAACGTAAGAGAAGTTTAGGGTACTTAATATAAGTGCTTGAGAAACAAATCGGATGGATTAAGAAAACATTTGAAGATTTTAGGAATCCCCAAAGAATTGCAAGAAGAACTCAAAGAAATACAGGGATCCTCAAGACGGGCAACGCTCTGATGAGCTAACGAAACCCCACCACAAAGCTCCTCTCCTGATCCTATCCTTCGACAATGTACCCCTCTAACCTCGGGTAAACCGCGAGTATTTGGCCCAACTCCTACTAGACCTATGTAAGTAGAATTATCTAAATGTTGTTACAAAACAATGAATTGTCGGCCCCGTAAAGCTAACCCGATTGAGCCTTTGAAATAACAAAAATCTTTAAGAAAGTTTATTAGAGTACATACTCTGTTGTTGTTCCAGAAAGGGTTCAGGAAGGCTCACAGAATGTTAAATAATTTATAGAAAGTTCGGAAGAGAGCTTTGAATTTCTTCTTTTTGAGCTTCCTTAAAGTTAGATGATTTCCAAACTATTCAAGATTTGCACAAAGTAATCGCTCGTGTAGTTCACTTGGACCATGCAATGACGCAGCTGTTTAGGATAAAGGGTCTACAGAAATTATGCCTGGCCTTGTTTAGGATATAAACAAATACGCTGCGAAAGGGGAGGACGGGGCCAAAAATCGGTCAAAAACATACTACGTCATTTATGCACCAACCACCGAGTTTTTAACGGCTGTCCATGCCACATTTTTTTGCAAAAAAAAACCCCCGCCCTTGTAGCAGCTTACAAGAGAACTAACAAATCCACTAAAGCACGTGGGCGCAAATTTTGAAGCATGATTGAAATTGTCAATCTTATTCGTTCGTACCTTCAAACTGGCGACCTTCAAACTGGCGACATCAACAACATCTAAGTCCAATCCTAACCGGGACGATTCTTGACGTAAAAGGTAACCATCACCATTCAAGAAAAATTGGCTGACAAAAAGCGAACTAGCTCTGCTGCCTAGTGCCTACCCACGACGAGTGCGGTTGGTGTTTCAATCGATTTGACAAGCTCAGCAGAAGTGAAGTGCTCCATTCGAAGCGAGCACAGAGTCTGACGAGAACCGACCATAAAGCCATAGAGAGCGAGATGGAGTGTGCTTTCTATGTTGTTCCACTTCCTACTACAACATGAGCAGTACACTCACTCGTCCACTTCTTCTCCTCCTCCTCCTACTCATCCTTCAATTGCCGCTCGGTTCTAAAAACTCATGTCGCGTGTCTCTTAAAGACTCAATAATTAATAAATGATTTTCTCCGTTGTCCTTGTCCCCGTTTTTTTTTTTTTGGCATAATAAGCCCCGACTGACGTCGGTCGACCAGCCAACACTGTAGGGGAAATGCGAGCAAAATGAACACTTGACGTTTTAAGGGCGGACCATTCATGCACACAGACAATTCAATTTGATCATTTTACCCCGCAGTTCCCCAAATGCTAATGTCCTGCTACGAATCGATTTTAAACGGAACCATTTGTCTCTTTCTATTTCGCAGAGAGATCCTGCCTCGAAATCGTCCACCCCGCGGCGCGGCGAGTACAACGTCTATTCCACCTTCCAGTCACACGAGCCCGAGTTCGACTATCTGAAGTCACTAGAAATAGAGGAGAAAATCAACAAGATCCGATGGCTGAAGCGCAAGAACCAGTCGCACTTCCTGCTGTCGACCAACGACAAGACGATAAAGCTGTGGAAGGTCTCGGAGCGGGACAAACGGGTCGAAGGGTACAACACGCGGGAGGACAACGGCAGCGTGCGTGATCCGTCGTCGATCAGCGCGCTGCGGGTGCCAGCGATAAAGCCAATGGACCTGATGGTGGAGGCGTCGCCCCGTCGGATCTTCGCCAATGCTCACACCTACCACATCAACTCGATATCGGTCAACTCGGACCAGGAGACGTACCTCTCGGCGGACGACCTCCGGCTCAACCTGTGGCACCTGGAGATCACCGACCAGAGCTTCAACATCGTCGACATCAAGCCGGCCAACATGGAGGAACTGACGGAGGTCATCACGGCGGCCGAGTTCCATCCGACCGAGTGCAACGTGTTCGTGTACTCGAGCAGCAAGGGTACAATTAGGTTATGTGATATGCGCTCGTCCGCGCTCTGCGACCGGCACGCGAAACTGTTCGAGGAACCGGAGGACGTGGACATCACCAACAAGAGCTTTTTTCGCGAGATCATCAGCTCGATCAGTGACGTCAAGCTGAGCAACACCGGCCGGTACATGATATCCCGAGATTATCTGAGTATTAAGGTGTGGGATCTGCACATGGAGACGAAACCGATCGAGACGTATCCGGTGAGTGTGGGTTTTTTGTTTGTTTAGATTTTCAGTAAACATTATTGCTCTATTTTGCAGGTTGAATAGTTGAGTCGATGCATGATAATTGTAAAGAAGATTGGAATCACTAGAGGATTCGTTCACGACCGTTGAAAGTAACTTAAAATTGTAAAAAGTGGTGCTACTCAGTGTGGATGAGTAATATTTTCCTCAAAAATCGGCTCGAATACCAGGAAAATCGATGAATATTTTACTCAGTCTAATGAGTATAGTCGTAAACTAGGTAAAATTTGCATTGGTTTTCCTTATATGAGCCAATTTTTTTTGGGAAAATCGAGGAAAATTGTTCTCACCACCACTTTTTTTCCATTTTGAGTCGAATTAGACTCAATTCTGAGTTACTCTCATCAGTCGTGTTGATAGGGAAATTTACGTCCAATTTCGTGGAACTTTTGAAGGATTTCTGAATACGGTCTAGCCTAATTTGTTAGGATCCTGAAGATATGTGAAAGGAAATCATTTGGTAGTAAAGCTAAAGACTTTCCAGTGATTCTAGGGCTATTTTTACCCATTATGCAGTGAGTACAACGGGACACCCTGGACATCCCAATGGTTCTGTGTTAATTTACTCACTACGTTTATTCCCCTCTGGGGAAGAGCCCGGCATAGCATGGTCCATCCATGCTGGTTAACATCCATGCCGCTCACGCTAACGGTCACAAGTTCATATCTCATCCCCGGATAAGTCACGAATGACCTACAATGTGTTAAAGTTCCTACCTATAAAAAAACACCCACAATTTTGAGTGGATCTCTCAACGCTCTATGCGCTCTGATGCTTTGGTGCCACCCACAATATAACAACCCCCTGTTCCCCACAGCTGCGCAACATTTTGATCGAATTTGGTTAAGCTCTGTATTCGCGGGAGAGCGGTGAAGTTTGCATGGGAATTTCAACTACCTGTCAAAAATTTAAATACAGCTCAATTTTTACCTAACCTCGGATATGGATTGAGTATACTAAGCGGAACAACTTGGTCCAAAACTGTAAATCGATTCGACTTCTAGACAAAAAGTTATTATTATTTTACTTTAGACCAAGTTCTCCGCACATAACCTGCAAGCTACGCGTATACGCCTGAAGGTATGCGCGGAACAATTCAACAGTGAGCATGCATAAGGGCGTAAACGCGATGATCGATTTTCTCTTTACATTGCTACAGCTAAGCGAAACAATTTTCTGGAATTTGTTCAATGTAGTGTTGTAACTGGTTGTACTGGGTATCAAATGTAACAGCAAACGCACCGAGAAACGTTAATCCAAGCAAGTTATTAGCAATAGAGAAAATCGACGAAGAGAATCGATCATCGCGTTTACGCCCTTATGCATGCTTACTGTCGAATTAACTCATCTTGCCCGTGACCCAACCTTACCCTATAACCAATCTTAGTTCAAGGTTTGGTAAAATTTGAGCCTTTTTTGAATTTTTGGCAAGCAAATGAAACGTTTTGTTCCTTTTCCCATACAAAATTCCAAATTCTCCCGCAAACCCAGAACGTAACCAAATTCGTTCAAATTTGGTAGTTGAGGGGAGCTCAATTCACATCTAAAGCCCACTGCTCTGCAGTGAGTTGTGATCCGCCATACAAATATGACCCACCATAGTGTTTATGCATCCACTCAAAGTTGTGACTGGCTTCCATAGACGTGTGCAGGCCTCTTCATAAGGAACGGCAAGCCAACCTATAGAGTAGAGGGGCGTCTCATATACTAGGCGGTATCGGGGGAAAATATCTTACTTCATAGAACTGCTAACCGTTAAATCACAGACAAGCAGACGTAACTCTTCATTGTGTATCTTCGTTCATGCATTTAACGGTTGATTTGAATATTATCAGTTCCGCGAACTACTCGCCGCAGCGCTGGCATCGGATCACTTTGACGTTTCTATACATTCTATAGAACTTTTATGCAATATTGTTTAAGAGTTAGCGAGCAAGCTTATTTTCCGCGAGAAGCCAGAGAGATGTCGTTACTGAGGTTATATGTTTTCAAGAACAAGTTTTTCAAAGAGCTACGTCTGTTTGTCTGTGGTTAAATGCAGATGGTCTTGAAATCTTGAATAAACATCCAGAGGATTCAACAGAGATTTTTAGGCAACAGCAACAGAGAGAGATTAGGATTGCTGGGCAGATGGCGATCTTCAGAATAGTACCTGATGAACCTAAAGTCTTGAACAAACAACCAGAGGGCTTCACCGAGATCTTTGATCACCTGCAGATGTTTTAACAATTTCGGCTCAACTTGCAATGAATATCTAGGAAATGTAATTTGAATTGATGATCTATTGTAGATCTTCATGAAAATACCTTAGTAGTCTGCAATCAATTCATATTGATTGGTATTATCAGAAAAATAAATACCTGGTGAACCAGAAGTCTCGAACAAACATCTTAATGGAAATCTTATTCAAATGATTATACCGTCACTTCTTCCTAATTCGATATTGAAGGGATCATCGAGAAAGTTCTTCAAAACTCTGGGAAAATCTCAGAAAATGTGGGAAGTTTTCAATTTCTTAGTAGGGGAATTTACGTATTCTCGGCAACCTAAGCAGCGACCTTCTTTCTATAGCCTTTTTCTCTATGGAACGCACACATATGCAGTATTGGTTTGTCTACAATCTTTTGCTGCCAGCTGCTCTAACAATTTCAGTCGAAAGAATTGTCAAAAACTGTTTTTAAACGCTTTTACAAAGCTCCAATCTTCTCTAGTGAGAGCGAGTATTGTCGGCAACCAGTTTTTCTTCGGCAACCGCTCCATTTGAACTGCATGTAAATCTGCTGTTCTATTATCGGCAACTCGAAATCAGCTACAATTTGTAGTGCGTGTGTTTCATTTCAAGAAAACCTTGCTAGATTGCTTTTTCTCAGTGGTAAAAATATAGTCAAATTGAAGCTGAAAGCATAAAAAATCGTTTGCATGCATTCAGCGAAGTGTTTTCGTAATAAAATCCAGTGAAAATAGTGTTTCAATTTGGGTTGCCGAAAATAGTCTGTCATGCCGAAGCCGTCATTTCCTCTATCTTATATTCTGGATAGTTCCTGAAACTTCTGGGAAGATTTAGAAAATTGAGGGACGTTCTTTGAATTATTTTTAAGTTCTTAGAACATCTCAAAAGTTCTCAAGATTTCTTGAAAAATTTGCAGACCTCTGCAAAGTCTCCGAATTTCTGGAAAGTTTTCTGAACGACTCTTGGAATTTCTGTGAAATTTGTCGATCTTCTCGACATTTTCTGTTAAACTCAAGTATCTTCTGAACAGTTCTAAGAAGACACTTCTGGAAAGCTCACATAAATTGTGGGTCGTTCTCGGATGTTCTACGAAATGCACGCATCTTGTAAGGATCTGTCGGAAATTTTGAGAAGTTGTCGGAAATTCTGATCAGTCCTAGACTTTCTAGTAAGTTCTTTGCAAATCTTCTAAGAGATTCTCGGAATTTCTGGCAAGCTTTCGAAAATTCTGGACAGCTCTCCAAACTGATGGGAAGGCTTTTTTTTGGAAAGTTCTCGGAATTTTGTGAAGTTCTTGGTTCTTCTGGAAAGTTTATGGATCTTCTGGAAAGCTTTTGAAATGTTTGGGAAGTTTTCGGAGTTCGTTGTAAATCCACGGATTTTTTTGGGAAGTTGTCAAATCTTCCGAGAAATTCTCAGGACTTATGGGAAGCTCTTGAAAATTCTGGAAAGTCTAGGATCTTCTAGAAGTTTTTGGAATTTCTGAAAAGTTATGAGCTCTTGTGGGAAATTCCCGGATTTTCTGGAAATAAATCTAGAAGATCTAGATCTAGTAGTACTCAGAATTTGTGGGAGAAGTCTACAGAACTTCTGGGAAGTTGTTGATTTTTTTTTGGGAAGATCTTCTGAGAAATTCTCGGAACATATGGGAAGCACTCGGTAATTCTGGAAAGCTACGCATCTTGTCAGGAGCTGTCGGAAATTCTGAGAAGTTTTCGGAAATTCTGGGCAGGTCTAGGAATTTTCGAGAAGTCCTCAGAATTTCTAGTAAGTTCTTCTTCTGGGAAATTCGCAAATCTTCTAAGAGACTCTCGGAATTTCTGGAAAGCTTTCGAAAATTCTGGACAGCTCTCGGAACTGATGGGAAGGTTTTTTTTTGAATTTCTGGGAAATTTGTGAAGTTCTTGAATCTTCTGGAAAATTTATGGAACTTCTGGAAAGCTTTCGAAATTTTTGGGAAGTTTTTGGAGTTCGTTGTAAATCTACGGATTTTTTTTTGAGAAGTTCTCAAAACTTCCCAGAAATTCTCGGAACGTGTGGGAAGCTCTTGAAAATCTTCTAGAAGTTTTTGGAATCTTTGAAAATTTATGAGATTTATGTGGGAAATTCCCGGATTTTTTGGAAAGAAACCTAGAAGATCTAGATCTAGTAGTACTCAGAATTTGTGAGAGAAGTCCACAGAACTTCTGGGAAGTTGTTGATTTTTTTGGGAAGATCTTCTGAGAAATTCTAGGAACACAAACTGTCAGTTCTCGGATGTTCTACGAAGTGCACGCATCTTGTAAGGATCTGTCGGAAATTCTGAACAGTTGTCGGAAATTCTGGGCAGTTCTAGGAATTTTCGAGAAGTCCTCAGAATGTCTAGTAAGTTCTTCTCATGGGAAATTCGCAAATCTTCTAAGAGATTCTCGGGACTTATGGGAAGCTCTTGAAAATTCTGTGAAGTCTAGGATCTTCTAGAAGTTTTTGGAATTTCTGAAAAGCTATGAGATCTTGCGGGAAATTCACGGATTTTTTGATCTACTACTTAGAATTTGTTACAGAAGTCCACAGAACTTCTGAGAAGCTGTTGAATTTTTTATGGAAGATCTTCTGAGAAATTCTCGGAACATATGGGAAGTTCTCGGTAATTCTGGAAAACTGTCAGAATTCTGGGAAGTACTCGGATCTTCTAGATGTTTTGGGAATTTCTGAGAAGTTCTTAGATCTTGTGAGAAATTCTCG